AGTGACATCGGTAATGAGGTCGGGCCATCGGAATCGCTGTCGAAGTCGTGCAATAGTGCGGTTGACTCCGAAATGGCCGGCGAGTCGTGAATCATGATACTCGTCGAGGAGGCGAGTCCGAAGACGACGGTCGCGTGAGACACATAGTAAGTCCTTGCCTCTCGAGTGGAGAAACAAGTAAACGTCGGCAATGCGGTAATGGCTGGCCGGCGGGTGATCCGAAGATAGCTGTGCATACAGCGTGCCAAAGTCCGGATTAGACTGATATGCCCGGATGAAGTGTCGTTGAAGCTCCTCGTCGAATGCGAAGGCATGATCTGTCATCGCGCAAAGATCAGGTCTTCGCGAGAGTGCATCTGCTGCGTGATTGGAGAGCCCGGGGACATGTTTCGGTGTGAAGTCAAATTGGTCGATGAAGTACATCCATCGTCCGATCGTGCTGCTCACCGTATCCTGCGTCTTGTAGTAGGTCAATGGATTGTTGTCTGTGACCCATGTGAACCTACGACGCCCAAGGAGGAAGTGCCGCCAACGCTTGAGAGTCATCACGAATGCGAGCAGCTCCTTCTTCCTTGCATCATCAAGCGAGTTGATGGGAGACACTTTGTGGCTGAAATACTCCACAGGGTGCCAGTCGTCGCCGTCGTGCTGTTCCAAGACTGCCCCAATGCCATAGCCGAAACGTCCGTAGTCACTCGCGTCGGCAGGGTGGGGTCATAGATGCTAAGGACGGGTGCCATGAGCATAGCCGTCTTAAGTGCTTGGAATCACCGGCGTGCGTCGTCATCGAATACGAATGGCACCTTTGGCGATTGTAATCTCGTCATAGGTGCAGCAATCCTRGAGTATCCGGTGATGAATCGCTGATAGAAGCCCGCCAACCCCATGAATGAACGAACGTCCGTGGTGTTGGTGGGCTCGGGCCATACTCGTAGGGCCTCGATCTTGTCCGCAAGCGGACGGATGCCTTGTGGCGTCACATAGTGTCCCAAGTACTCCAGCTCCTACTGTGCGAACTCGCACTTGTCGCGGTTTGCTTTGTACTTGGCCTGTCATAGCCGCTCCAAAATGGTGCGCAGGTGTTCCACATGCTCGTCCAGACTCCGACTGTAAACTAGAATGACGTTGAGGTAGATAAGTACGACACGATCCAGCATGTGTCGGAACTCCGTCGTCATAGCCGCTTGGAAAGTGGCAGGGGCATTCGTAAGGCCAAATGGCATGACCAGCCATTCGAAATGCCCATACCGTGTCTTGAACGCGGTCTTGTAGCGATCCTCCTTGCGAATCTCGAGTTGGTGGTACCCTGACTTGAGATCCAGCTTAGAGAAGAACAAGCGCCGGCCAATCGCTCGAGAAGGTCGTCGATGCGTGGGAGAGGGTCGGCGTTCCTTATGGTCTGCGCGTTGAGCTTGCGATAATCGATGCACAACCGCAGGTCCTTGTTCTTCTTCCGGACGAAGAGAACAGGAGCACCGTATGGCGATGAGCTAGGCCGAATCCAGCCTTTCTCTAGAAGGTCGTCGAGTTGTGCCCGAAGCACACTTAACTCTTCCTCGCTCATTCGGTAGATGCAACCGCTCGGAGGTACGGCCCCGTCCTCGAGGATGATCTCGTGGCGGATGGGTCGATCCAGTACTACTCCGTGTGGGCCTTCGAACACGTCGCTCTAGGCGTCAAGAAGTTCGGTGATGCGTGGATCCGAAGGTGGGTCCGTTGATGAAGCGTCATCGGGCGGGAGGGCGTGGAGACAACGCACCCCCATCTCCTCGATGTCGTCTCTGATGATGGAAGCTCGCATCCTTGCGGCGGATACCACGTGGCAGCTGATCGAAGGATGAGGAAGAGGCACCGTGCATGGAACTAGTACTCCGTTCCGGTCACGAACGTAAACGGTGCGGCTGAAGAAGTTCACCGGGTGATTCTTGCTTCGCAGCCATGACATGCCCAAGATCATGTTGAATTTGGTGTCTCGAATGTCAAAGGACACCGCCTCACTTGCGTGAGGGGCAAAGTACACTGGGACGGCGTCAATGCACCGGTCGATGGACTTGTGCGTATGACCGTCTGCCAGAGTGACTTGCGTAGGCTGGGACTTCCTCCGGACACGTGGGCCAAGGCGGGCGCGTACCATGAAGTCCTGGCTGATGTAGTTGCGAGATGCTCCACAATCGATCAAGGCACTGCAGGTCGCCTCTCTGATCTGAATGCGTACGTATAACAATGGTGCGTCGATGTCGTCATACCGTTGCGTCTTGAACTCGCGGTCGATCTTCGCGATGTAAACGTGAAGGTCGACAACCTATACTCCGGCGTCCATCAACGGAGTCGGTACTGCAGTGTGCAAGTAATCTCGCAGTTGTGCCATGAGCACATTGCAATGCGGTTTCGGCAATCGTCCGGTCGGGGGAACCGGCATCCACAAGAAGTCCGTGAACGTCAATGGATCGAGCACCTCAAGTCTTGACCACGACGATGAATCCCCGGCGATAGATGGCGGCGAAGCTACCGAATCGGTTGTCGATGGTGATGAAACCGTGCATGCGGTAGATTGTTGCACGTGGAGCAGTTGGTCCAGCGGTGGAACCAAGTGGACAGCATAGTCCTCGTAAGTGTAACGAGAACTTGCGACATTCGCGTTCTCCCCAGATGTGCAGGAGGCCGCTAGCAAGGCGGCCGAATCTGGTGGAGTAGAAGGTGGAGTCGCCTCACCTTCCGCGAAGCTCAGTTTCCCGAGCTGAGGCGGGGTCGCACATCCTCCTTGCCCTGATCCTGGCACAGGGAGGTCTTGTGCTTGGTGCTGTTGCACCAATAGCAGCTGCCGTAGCGGCCGCGGACCTTGTACTCCGCCTCGGTCAAGCCAAACTTTACCCATGGAACTTGTACTGGCTGTCCATTTCCTGCCTGCGATGCGGATTTCGCCTTCCCATTGTTGAGGGACTTGTTGTTGCTTCGCGGCTGGACAGCAGCCACCTGATCTTCGTCACTTGATACTGGAGTGGCTGCTGGGTTATCTCCATTGTCCTGCTGGACTGCAACGAAGTGCTGCTGTCATGGACCAGTTCGTGCCTTCTCCACATAGGTCGGCTGCCATGTTGATCTCTCGTGTGCAGCGGACCTATTGGTCTTGATGATCTCTCTCGCCTTGTCGATAATCTCGGCGAAAGTGGAGTACTGATCGCGATCACCAAGAGCCTGGCTCAATGCVGCACAGGACCTGTTGTAGAACTCACATCTGAGATGAGTGAAAGGCAAATCCAGATTGGGCACTGCCACAATCTTCTGCCACTCTGTGAGCCAATCCCGTGTTGAAGTGTTGCCCTGTGACATGGTGAACAAACGGTTGATGGCGAGTGTCGCCGCGTCGTCGACGATGAACCGCTTCTTCCACAGCCGTGTCAGTTCCTCCCATGTGATTTTGTCCTTCAAGTCTGGTACGTCGACGCCGTGGGAGGTTGAGTTGGCTCAACCAGGTCTGGCATCCGCCCTTTGAGTTCAGGAACAGGGCGCCGATGTACGCATACTTGGCTACGGGCAGAATCTTGAGTTGCGTTGTGAATGCTTCCCACCAGAGGACCGGATCCTGCTGTGTGTAGTCGTCGAACCTCTCCTGATTGAAAGTTGGCATCTTATACATCTTCGGGTTGTCGTCCGCGTTCGTCGACTGCTGCTGCTGGACCTCGGTCTTCAATGTATGCAGCTGACTGCTGATGGTGGTGGTCGGCACAACGGAAGTGCTGATGTCGCCGAGCATTGCCACTACGTGGTCAACGGGGTCCTCCAGTTGGCGGCTAGAGGGTGCACTGCTGGAAGCCCCAGCAGCTGGTCATGGTACAGCCTGTTCCAGATCCAGCAATCGGGCATTGAGTGCCCGAGTTGCATCCTCGTGGCTCTGCACCATGGGGCGGAGCTTTGCCAACTCCTGATGCTGTTGAGTCAGGTCTTGGTACTGTCTCTCCAACTCTGACCGTTGGTAGTTGCAAGCGTACAACAACCTTGTCACGAGTTTGGAGAGGAACTCCTTGTGCTTCTCTTCCGGTGTTGCCTCGTCGCCGTTYGGTTCAMAGTGCCAGAACCTGAGTCYGTCGATGCTGTTGGCTTCATGCCGCTGCAGCAGATCCTGGGCTTCCTTTCGGCGAGCCTGGGCATCTGCATCTGCGTCGCCCTGTCGTCGCAGCTGCTGCCTCTTCAGCCTGTACGCGGGCAGCCTCGGCTGCCAGCTGGCGTTGTTCCTCAGCCTCAATCTGAGCGTGGAACCGCTGGTTGTAGGCGGCAAGGGACTCGTTGGGCAGTTGCCCTGGCAGGCCCGTCATGTTGCTGACGTGGCACTGCTGACGTGGCACTTTGTCTGACGTGGCATTGTGTCTGACGTGGCACTGCTGATGTGGCACTGCTTACGTGGAACTGTCTGACGTGGCACTGCTGATGTGGCACTGCTTACGTGGCACTGTCTGACGTGGCACTGCTGATGTGGCACTGCTTACGTGGCACTGTCTGANTGGCACTGTCTGACGTGGCACTGCTGATGTGGCACTGCTTACGTGGCACTGTCTGACGTGGCACTGCTGATGTGGCACTGCTTACGTGGCACTGTGTCTGACGTCACTGCTGACGTGGCACTGAGTCTGACGTGGCACTGTGACCTGGCACTGCTGACATGGCACTGCTGATCTGGCACTGCTGACGTGGCACTGTGACCTGGCACTGTGACCTGGCACTGCTGACGTGGCACTGCTGATCTGGCACTGTGACGTGGCGCTGCTGACGTGGCACTGTACCGAACCGGGATGCATGCAAGGGGTGGGTGGGAGGGAAAATGTAGGTAGGTAACCAACCCAACAATACTTTCCTCCAGCCCTAATCAACAGATAAAATAAAAAAATAAAAAATAAAAGAGGACTACTTCCTTTTTTTTTTYTTTTTTTTTTGTATATATCTGTGGATCTATGATGAGTAGGATACGTCAGAAGGTATTATGAACGAGATCTAGGCTAGATTTCCGCAAACTTTCGGCTTTTACAGCTGCGATCTTGAAAAAAACATTTCTGCGAAATAGAGTAAAGATGCGATTTCCAGAAAAGAACGAAATCTGGTTCCTGAGAATATAGCAACCTCCGAATATGCCTAACGCAATATTGGTAGGCTTCGCAAGATTCGGTTTTCAAAAAAAAAAATTGCGAGATAGAATTGAAATGCGATTTTCAGAAGAGAATAATTTCAGTTTTCGAGAATATGACCACTTCTATTGTTATCCCAATATGCCTAGAGAACGAAAATACTAACTTCAGAAATTTCAGCTATGTATGCGAAATATCAGAGAAACGAATTGCWACTATCSGGAATTTTCAGACAAAACGAAATGCGATTTATCAGAAATTTTCAGATATTTGTCACGTAAAAACGAACTACTAATATCAGAAATTTTCAGATAGAACGAACATGCGAATATCAGAAATTTCAGATAGTTGTTGCGAGAAAACATTTTCAGAGATTTGACTAAGTCCTACTTGCGTTACTAATGAGTGATCAATAGATCGCAAGCTGGCTACTTGATTGAGCGGGTCCTCTGAATAAGAGGTCCGCTCCGATACCAAACTGTTGCATACTGTAACGTGCAGACCAGAACAAGAACCGACCTTTCAATACAAAGTACAAGATAACACAGCGGAAGACTTAGATACCAGTGATCCGAACAATCAATGTTGTAATGCAGCCCTGAACATACATCATCATCATCGTTACATGGTGTGAATGGGTCTGGCGCTTCACACAGGAAGACAGTGCCAGCCCATACCATACACAGACGAAGAGGAAGGGGATAGACGAAGAGGAGGGGGAAGATGGGARTGTCGTCAACACCAAGTCTTCGTCACAGCCCAAATAGTCCCTCGTCGAAATGTCTGAATCCCAAATGTTAAGTCTGGATCCAATGTCGTCAAGTCTCAAGTCACAACTCTGTCTCTCTCTGTCGTAGTCTGAGAAGTCAGGTGGCGAGAGGGTGAGAAGAGAAGGTGGACTTCGAAGAGGAAGAAGAAGAACTCTCTCTCTCTCTCTCTCTCTGTCCAGTACTAACCTGTGAAGTTGGCGCCTTGATGCAGGTACCACAAAGATGGAGCTGGAGCGATGGCGCCACAGGTAAGTATCACTGGCCTCCGCCAGTCTCTCTCCCACTCTACGATCTACCACCTACCAGCGCCCAGCGCTGAGACTACAGCTACAGCTATGGCGCCCAGCGCCGAAGACTACAGCTAGCGCTACTACTACTTAGCGCTGGAGACTACTGCAGCGCTCCTCCTGAGTGCTGCGGCCGAATCCTGAAGACTACTACGTGCCTACTGAACTACCTACCCGTGAAGTGCATGGGAACTTCCTATGTACTACCGGGTGTGCCTCCTGAGCCTGCCGAAGGGAGGCAGGGGCTGCAGCTGCAGCTCCTGCTCAAACTCGTGAGGAACAGGCTATTTCTGGCCTGTTCCGCATCCCTGTTTACGTGCCTGAGTCTTAGGGGCAGGTCGAAACAATGAGGGCCTGAAAATGGCCCTCCGTTTCAGGCTGAAAACTCTGGGTCTGAAAAGACCCAGAAATAGGCTGAAACGGGGTAGGGCCTGCAGGCGCTCGTTTTTCAGCTTTCAGGCTGAAACGAACGGGGCCTGTAAGCCCTAAGTTTTAGGCTTTTAGGCTGAATGTCCGGGACGGGCCCTGCAGGGCCCGTGTGGCTACGCAGAATGCCACAATCAAACAGCACATCCAGATGAACATCTCCTCTCAGTGGGACATTGTCGAAGACATATTGACCTCCTTAGATGCTAAAGCTGACATCAGAGCCATCCTTCAACAATTCTGCAAAGACTGGCTGGGCGGGGACCAAGGGGGATGGATTGCACAGATCGAATGGAAGGGGGAACACGGGGGTGGCTATGGGGATTTGGTTCAGGATTACTGTCTCCTATTTCATGACTGGACAAAGATTGATGCCTCTTTCCCACTCCGCCCACTCACCGAGTTCCAAGATCCCTTTCCCCCACCTGCCCTTTCCCTGGTGGACCAGCACTGGTATGGAGGATAGCAAGAAAAGTAAGGATGGGCATGCAAGTCAGACAGCCCAGGCATGGTTGTGTGTTCAGCAAGGATAAAAGCTGCCTTTAGTTGGTTTCAGCAGGATACAAGAGGGGCATGATGACCGCATTGTCATCTGGCGCCCTGTAGCAAGGCTGAAGAGGTCCCCTCTCCCTTTCATACTTCCTGCTGCTCAGTCAATCCCTTGCTCTTCAGGGTGATCAATGCTGGCAGGAACTGGATTCACTCCTCAGGGTGTACATGAAAAGCAGAAATTTTCTGTCTTATGGGACGCAGGACCCAATTTCCAGCAGGTGAGGCTCCCCACCAATAGACTGGAGCATCGGGGAGACCTACTACTAGGGGAAAATGCTCACATCATCCCCCATAGCAGGGAAACTGGGTTGAAAAAAAAGAAAAAAAGAAAGGTCCGATGACTTCAGTCAGGAAGCTGTCCGCATAGCGAACATATTGAATCCTTCTAGAACGACTCTGGTGAGGCGAATGCCTGGGCTGAAGGTTTGTCTTGAAGGCTGCTCTCCGATCTTCGCAGTGAGCCTTTTTCTTCCACGACCTGCGGTGGTTGCCCTCTTTCTATTGAGGACCGCGGCTGCTACCGTCTTCACCCGAATAGAACGCCCGGTCATCATAGCTGTATTTGGGGCAACTTCCAGTCCAGATACAGCGATAATTACCGGGCGTTCTATTCGGGTGAAGACGGTAGCACGGAGTTAGTCAGGGATGCTTCTTGGGTGCTTCTCATATTTGATGCAAGAGCTTTGCACACGTGTGGGACCCATTCAAAGAGATCATAAATATGTCATCGCTTGTGATTGCCATGTGGGATACTTTTCCCAAACGAAACAAAAAAAGAAAGAACTAAAATGAAGGAAGAGGACCATCACTCACCAGTGGTTAACGGGGTAAACTGTTTTCATTGCTGAAATCAGTTTTTTTTTTAATCTTTTTTTTGACTGTTGGAATTGAGTCCGGTGTTCTGAATTGTTTTTGTCCATTGGAATTGTCTGTTGTGACCATTTCCAAAATTCTGAAAATACTAGGAAAATAGGCCTTCTGGTTTTCTTATAAATAGCATTCAAAAAACGCTGAAATTTTGGGTCTCCGTTAACCGCCTCTCCACCACTCCTGATTGACCATACAGAAAACTCAAAAGAAAGTGAAAAAACAAACTCAATCATATAAGTTTGGCACAAAATGTGAGGCTTTAGTCCTGTGGAGGACATAATGTGCCAATACAGTGACATTAAAAAGAGACTGGCGTGCACAAGTGCACGCCAGCGCGCCAGCATCGCGCTTTCGACTTTGAGGGCATACTAATGTCCAAAGACAATTTGGTTGTGTTTGTGAGAGGCACTTCTCTTCTTCTAAGTTCTGGACATGATTGTAGTCAGATTCATCCAAGTCTGGCCGTAATTGTAGTCAGATACGTTTAGGTCACAGTGCAACTGTTAGTGTGCCCTGAATGTCTCTGGCCTGGGTGAGATAAGGTAAGGAAAAGAAAGAAGGAAAGAGGCGGCCCTGTTCCACAACCCTCTGACACACTGACAGAGGAGAAGCAAAGAAAATAAATCATACTGTTACTCAATCCATCAATGCGAGCGAGTGGCCGAGATAATGGAAATTCGGAAAGATGCGTTTGAAAAAGCCTCAAAAAGGAGGGCTGCTTTCTCCCTGACAAAGGGCCGTTTTTCATGGCCCTTTCCTCTCCCTTTCTCTTCTCTCTGACA